AATTTTCTAATTATGAATGGTTGTTTCTTTTGTGAGCAATAAAATAATTTAAAAATAATTTTTAACGATACAATAGCAACGATTATTATTTTAGAAAAAAATTTGATAGGCTTAACATGGAGGAAAATTCAACGTGAAGTAGGTTAATAGCGATATACTAATATACTAATTACATGGGATATACTAATATACTATACAGTAGAACCTCGATTATCCGGACTAATTGGGGATGAAGGTAGTCCGGATAAGGAAAAATCCGGATAATCGAAATAGATACTTTAATTTGTCTTTTAATGATAATACAACACGTTTTCTTTTCGATGACATATTGGTAATATTAAAAGTAAATACTGTATTTAAATCGTGATCAAATTTTCAAGAAACAAACGTTCGTATTGAATTTGGACTACTACTGACCAACGCTAACAGACTACCTATTGTTTAAAAGGCCCTCTGGTGGCGCAAGAAGACGGATTTTATAAAATAAAAAGCAGTTGAAACTGCATTTTTATGAATAAAAATTTGACAAACTATTTATCGTTTTATGACGAGTAAAATTTTATCGTCGCGTTCGCGGTTTTTAAGTAATGGATAAACCTTCGAAACGCAAGGTCCTTCGGACCGTGAGGCATAGGCGGTGGCCCACATTGCCCATGCCTTACGCCGCCCTTGGTCATAGAAATGATGTAATTTGAAAATAAATTATTTATAAATACGTATGTCAAGTTATATTTTTATTACTACGTAAATTATATTTAAGAGTTTACGGCCACTGTGCTGGGTGAGACGTTGTTAAAACAAAAAAAGTTATGCATTCCATCACGTACATAAACAGTGTCATAATTCGCCAAGTGCAAATCAGCAAATTCGTAAAATTTTTTTTTATTTTGAACAATCCGGATAATCGAAAATCCGGATAATGGAGGTCCGGATAATGGAGGTTCTACTGTACTAATAATGTATTTTTTCATACTTTTTGGTTATCTGTTTTTTCAGTTATCTGACCAACCTCAGTCCCCAACTGAGTCGGATAATTGATGCTCTACTGTAATTACAATTATTGTTTAGTAGAATTCTTGATGAAAATGTACAACACAGGAGAAAATTGCCCAATAAATCACAATGAAATATTAATTAGTATTTAACTGACAAATTCTTATAACTCAAAAGTTAAATAATAAAAACCAACAATTACTTTTAAATGTTAATAATTATAATCTGTATATAAAGAGTCAATATAATTTTTAATAAAATGTTTCAATCTCAAACATGAAAAACTGGTTTAGTACAATTCATTATTCTGTGAAAGTGACACGAATTTCATCAAAATTTCATTTTGTATAAAACATAATCAACTTCACAGACTACAGTTATATTTGTTATATACATAACTTTTAACTATAAATAAAATATTTTGAATTTCATTTATTTTTACAGGTTTTCTCTATAATTAAAAATATGAGTGGATACAACTAGATGATTACAACCTTCAGTTTTATATTTTAAAAAAAAAATGACAACTCTGTAACAATAATATGAAATTTATCAATGAAACAAATTAAACCACATTTTAGAAAATGTACAATTATTTTCAGTTTTATTAGAATATCATAATATACAAAAATGTATTGCTTTTGAGACTATTGCAATGGCTAAATCACATTAACATAAGCAATTGAGATTTAAAGAAATTTGTACTTTTCAATCATTACTGCAAACTAAACCAATCGCCAGCAAAATTCTCAATTTTTTGTACTCCAAGGACGCAACACATTTGTTTGAATTTATCCATTCTGTAAATAAATATCTTTTGACTTAAACGATAAACTTGACTTAAAAGAAATATACATGATTTATAATTTTAAAGTCCTGAAGAAATATCTAATCTAAATAAAATTTTACATTTTCCTAATATTTAATGCAATGAATGGCTGTAGTTTGAAAATAAAAGGCAATACAACATTTGAGAATTCCTGGACGTTAAAATTTTAAATATAAATGTACCTTTAAAAAATAACTTGTATTTTGCATGTTTCAAATAAAAACATGCTGTTAAGTACATAAAATATTTTATTTGAAAATCATCGATATTTATTATTACTGTTACATTTTAAATTAACAAGATTTAATTTTTTTATTCTATTTTCTAAATATAATTTTAATCTTTTTAACAATCTGCTTATTTATTTCAAAAGTATAGACTGTCTGGCAGTTTTGTACATAGTCTATATTGGCACAGTTATTATTATTGTACAGCGTAATAATTATATTAACACAGATGAATAAAAGAACACTTACATATAAACACAAATAACAAGTGGCTCATAGTACTGACGTAGGGGAGAGCAGAAGTGAAAGTGCTAAAAACCGAATATTTGCTTAAAAATGGCAGCATTTAATGATGAGTGACAAAAGATGTGGAAGATATTGACATAAAATTGCATTATGGACTATAAAATATTTTATAGAAATTAAAAACCATCATGATACACAAATGGTATCATTTAATATACTACAATAGAAAAAAATTGCATATTTTAATTTGCTTGAATATATTTAATTGAACCATATTTGAATTTCTATCTTCCCCATTTTGAAATTTTACAGAAGTTTATATTTTTTGTCACCCTTTTATAATCTTTTAATTCTGTATTTTGAGCATATCTGATAATTCATGCGTTTTGAAAAAAATAAATGTTGCATCATAGAATCATATTAAATGTTCTCCTTAAAGTTTGATATAAAGCAATTACATGGACATGAAATTAAGTTCTTATTTATTGATATATATTCATTCGATCACTTTTCTGATCTAATACTTTTTCAAATAAATTCACTCCAAATCACAATATTATTTAATCTTCCAATTCATTGCAGAGCATTCTGTCTATTTTATAACATAAAGCATTTAAGACTATCTTGTCCACCTTAATATTTTGTTATAGTATAATCTAAAAAATAAATTTTCCAATAAAAAACTGTTTAATTATTGTATGTTTATAGATGTATACAAATAAAAAAAATTCTTAAATCATATGGAGTTAATGTTTTACAAGATTCTATAATTTTTCTAAATAGAAAATTATATTACATATTCTTATACTATACACACAATGCTTCAGAAGATCATCATTTATTCACTCATTTCTTATATAATCTGTATCAAATAACTCAAAAATTCACAATATTTTGTTCCATTTTTCCTTTCTACTCAATTTAAATATACTCTTAAAGACATGGGCATAGCGGCAAAAGACCAAACGAGCCGTCTGGTAGCTGATTCCTACCGAAATGTCTCGCAGGACAGCGGCGCGCATGCAGGACTGTGTGGTAGAGATGATGTCTGCAGTGCGAACAAACTCTGAACATGCATGCATGTATGGCGCACACCAGTGGGTGTCCTGTGATAAGCATGGGCCACAACAGGGATTGAACCCGTGTGGAGGCTAAGTAGCTGCGGTCATGATAGTGAGGTGGTGGTCATGGAGGTCAGCATCCGCTAAGAAACATGTTGCAACATACCCGCTGAACCACAGTGCACCAAAAATGGATTGCGCTGACCCATAGTGTGAGGCCCTGACACACTGCATGGTAGACAGTGCGTGCATGCCCGATGCACTGCCTACCACATATGCTATAGCAGGCACACATGCTATGTAGGCATGTACATGCGTGCGTGCTTAGATGTGCATGAGTGTGTGTGGATGCACATATGGTGCAGATTCTGGGAACAGTAGCATTTCTATGAGTATGCAGAGACGGGTTCATCCACGGAAGGAGGTGATGTGACACCTCTGAAAATGGATGGTACTGACCCGCAGCATGAGGCCCCAATGCACTGCGTGGTAGGGAGTGCACACACGCATGCACTGCCTACCACGCATGCTATGTAGGCACATGCATGCCTTCATAGGTGCACATAAGCACGTGTGGATGCACGTGTGGTGCAGATCCTGGGAACAGTAGCATTTCTATGAGCAGGCAGAGACGGGTTTGTCCACAGAAAGAATGACACCTACAAAAAGGAGCCATGCAGAGATTTGTGTCATGGCACACTGGGAGGCAACTTGGACAGCAACAGCAGTGATGTGGCGGAGGCAACTTTCCACCGAGCGTGATTCTATGAGCAACGCATGCTGCATGCTTGGAAAGGTTGCATGCCAGTCGGATTTTTGCATAGACAAAAATCATGCTTGTGCTTATAGTTTAAAGTTTCTTCTTTGAAATAAATAGAGAGTTTGTGGCCGAAGGTCAAATGTTAAACTTGTACGGCAAGCAGAAGTACACATTTGACATTTGAACTCCAAGTAAAACACATTGTACCACACATTCACATCACACACTGACTCATGGGATATTGTTGAAAAATTGCAGAAACGTTTAACAATGATGAATGTTACCAGCAAAGGTAAATAAAAAAATTAAACTATTTTAAAGTAATAAAAAAGATGTAATTGTTTCCAAAAACTTGGGTGATCATCATATTTCTTTTAAGTGTTTCTTAGTAAAAACTTCAGATGACCCGACATTTCTTTTTAGGCTACGTGGCCGTCATGAAGTTTTTACTAAGAAACAGTTAAAAGAAATATGATGAACACCCAAGTTTTTGGAAACAACTACGTCTTTTTTATTTTTTTAAAAGAAAATTTCATCATCCAGCAAAAATCTAATATTTTAAAGTGTTTTAAGGATGTTTAATAACACTAAATAAATTTTTTTTAATTAGCATCGTGTCTCATACTGTACGATAGGACAATAGGACTACCTTATACTTTTGTTGAGGGAAGTAACGGTTTATGTAAATCTGAAAGCAGCTCATGAAATTATTTTTAGAAAATTTACAAATGTATTACGCTGTTGATGGTAGAAGATGCTGTGAAAGAACAAACCTACTCCTACAGAATTATGATAAGCTATTATGAACACAAATATATGTAAATTCTATAGGCACTTCACATCACTTGCAAAAAAATTGAATAATTAAATAATTTCTGGATTAAAATCGTCTGTTTCTTTTCAGTATTATTCATAAATGTTTAAATAATTGTTTTTTTAATAAAATATGTCATAATTTTAACCCCAAACACAAAAAAAAATGAAGAAGTTTAAGCCAAACTTCTATTCATCATGCTAGACATAGCAAACATCATTATCAACCTTCTAGACTTGCCAGATTGCGGCACTCGACATCCAACGTTCATGTTTTTACAATGAAAATGTTGGCCGCAATCTCTCTAATGCTTACAAATGTTTATTTCTGATTACTTATAAACCATAAAGCAAATCAAAACATTCCTGCTCTCCCCTATTGCATTGTTAAAATTGTTTATAAAGTATAAAGCAAATGCCACAAGTTTTATATTGCAATAAATCAGTGTAGGTTGGTCTCCTTCTTTGCCACGGCTCTTGTTGCTTCTTCGGGCAAACGTGTTGGATCTGTGAGAATGTTGGTAGTTGTGCCGAGGTTACGCAGAGAATTTAAAACACCTAAAATATATTTATATATTTTACGATCTATTGTAAATAATGTAATTTGGAAAAGTTCCAATAAGATACTAATTTTTTTTAAAATAAAATGCTAAATATTTCAAAATGTTTATTGATAAGTATAATCAAATTGAAAAAAAATGTAATTATATTTTAAGAAAATTTATTGGCTAATTTTTTAAAATATTTTCATATAAAAATACAGTTTAGACTGCAAAATGATTAGGATGTAAACTGAAGATAAATGAATAATTAATCTATTAAATTTACATTTTATATATATTTTTTAAAATATCTAACAAGTAAAGGATACACATTCAGAATGAATGATTATTATATTAAACAAAATGTTTAATATCAATTTATCAAAATGATTTTTGAGTGTATAAGCAGTTCCTATTTTATAAAAAAAGCAATTTAAATTTATGACATCAAAACACTTCCATATAACTTAGCTGTTGTCTAATGAGTACAATGGTTTATTAAAGATTCCTCACTTCTGATCTAATCTGTTCACTTTGGATTAATGAATTTTTAGTAATGTTTCAAAAATTCTTACAAATTACTATTTATTCAATCATTAGATCAGAACATTATTTGAACTTAAAATTTATGTAAATTTTATTATGATACTCAAACCTATCTAACTGAACTCCATCAAACACTACTGGCTAATAATTGTTCGTATACACACATATTGCAATTTGAAGGTAAAAAATCATTTAATTAAGAGTTTTGACAGATAAATTTACCATCATGTTGTCATATAATGACTGAAAAGTTCATCTAATGGCCGAAGGATAAGCTATTTTTAAATTTATATTTTTTTTTGTAAATTTTTAAATTTTATAACATGATTACTATACTTTAAGATTTTAAATGAAGTTAGCTTAATATTTAGCTGATCTGGTAAAACCACAATTTTTTTGGAATTAGAAAATTTTTCAGAGTTTTGTTACAATTTAAGTTTCATCTACAAACAAAATTCAAATGAATAGAAAAAATTCTTTAGTGCTAAATAGTAAAATATAATGCATACACTAAACAGCCAAAACATTACAACCACATACTTAATAAGATGTTGATCTTGTTGCCAAAATAGCCTGAATCTGGTAATGTATGGATTCTACAAGATTTTGGTAGATGTTGAGTGAAAGTTGAAACTGAAATATCACCAAAAGATCCTTCAGTTCCTGCAAATCACATGGTTGAGATAATGCATCATAAGCCCATTTCTCTAACTCAAACTACAAATACACAATTAGATTTGTCAAGAGATTTATGAATCATGACTCAGACCAGGCAGCCTTCTCCATTCCTCAACAGTTCAATTTTGATGCTGATATGCCCATTACAAGTGCTGTCAATGATGCTTATATTTAGCAGAAGAGAAAGACAAGATCTATGACTCCATAGACCCATATTCAGAAGTATATGATGAACAGTGTGTTCTAAAACACTTATGCTGTTATCAGCTATTGAAACTGTGAGATTTGTATCACAGTAGCCCATTTTTTCTTCATACAAGATGAGACAGCCTACACCAACCTCTTTCATCAATGTGGTGTGACCAGCTTATGCCTTGCCAATGGCTCATTGCTTTGCCATGTTTGGACCACCTTTGATTAGACACTTATTGCTGATGAGTGCAAACAGTCCATGAACTTTGCTGATTCAGAGATACTAACATCAAAGCATCTGATCATCACAATTTGGCTTTTGTTGAAGTCAGATGAATTTGCTGCTTTACTCATTTGCACATTGTGCAACTGCTTGTGCAGCCTTCTCTCAGCTATCTGTCTAATGACCTCAACATGTGTTGCTACATGTCTATAAGAACAGCACTTGTGTTGACAAGAGGTGGTCATAATGTTTTGGCTGATTGGTATACTTGATAAGTTAATTAAAATAATAATAATAATAGCTTTTTTGCACTAATCCAACAAACAAATTTCTTATATGAATTAATGTTTTCAGCTTACCAAACAATCTGCAATATTTTAAGTCTAATTAATAATCTGAAATTTATTTTGTAGGCCATCATATTATTTTTGTTATGATTGAGCCTGACAATGACCTATAAACTATGCTAGAAACATTAATTCATATAAAAAAAGTTATCTGTAGGTGTGTCATCATGCCAATGACAAGTCATAATTTGTGTTTTAATTTTCAATTAAACTCAATTACATTCAGTTTAGTTTTACTTGTTGTGTTTCAAAAAAAGTGCTAAAAAATTACACTAATCAACATTGAAACTGCTCCACCCAGGGAGAACCTGTTGGTCCTACCTGGGTATAGATGCATGCAAATGGTATAGAAATATCTGAAAAACAGTTCTAACTCAGTTCTAACCGACAGAATCTTGTGCAATGCAATAGGAGTAAAAAATAAAACAAGAAGGAGAGAAATACACAAGACATTGCTGGTATTTTGACAACAATTTTGACCTGAAACCACCTTTTACATGTTTCCACATTACTTGTGAAGAAAAAAAACAATGTCTTGTGTATTTTGTAAACAGATTTATCAGCATCTGAATACTTTGAAAGAGATAGAGTTATAGGACTCGGTGAAACAGAACATTCAACTCCTATTGCAGCATATGTTCATCAGGATGCATGTGCTGCAATATAACATGGTTGGCAACAATGGCTCATTAAGATTCCTACAGGTGGCATTCAGTCAATGATGCTGTTTGTTAAAATGACTTAACACACATTCTTTAACAAACCCATTTGGCACCAGAAAACACTGCAGCAAGCACAGCAAGCATTTGACAGTAGGTATCAGCTTCGATGGATATCCAAATCACAATGTAAATTGTAAATGGTTGTAATCACAACAAAAGATAAACAATTAGACTTAGAAGTTAATCAATAAATGTTTAGTATTAAAAGTAAAATGATGGTAATTGATTAACTTCAAGCTCTTGATTTGTGGTTTTGATTATGGCTATGAGAGAAGCAAAGATACTTTTTGTCAACCTTTACAGCAAGTCATTCTGCTTGGATAAGTGAAGAAGATTGATTTATCTGATTGTGACATCAACCTAACCTGAGGAACAAGTCACCTTTTTAAGAGTATTAAACACAAGATCATGTTATTAATCAAACACATGGCTTCTTTTCCATCTTTATTTAATTGATATGGTACTTCTACACGTTTTGGGCTTTTGTCCCCAAATCAGTCAACTAAACAAGAAAGAATATATACAGTATTCAGAATATCATATTTTATAAGTAAATTGTACAAAAATAATCTAAAACACATGTATATAATTCAACATACCATTAACCATGACGTGGCATTTGTACACCACGAGTTTGCATATTACAAACGAAGAATAAGGTGACTACACTGACATCATAAAATTTCCGTACATCTAATTAAAATAGTAGAATGATATGTAAAATATACAAATTTTTAGGTATTTAACAAATATTGAGTCTTACTGTTAAGTATATCCCTTCTTCTTATCAAATATAATGGATGTACGTTGCTGAGTTCTCTCAGACACTTATTTTGGCACGTTGCAAGTTCGGAAACTTTTGAGAGAAGTTTCCGAATAAAATTGTTAAATAAAGTTTCAATAGTATAGTTTGTTCTATTTCTTGTTGGTCTATCACATTATATTGAACTTGGGCGTAGCAACATCAGTTGGCATTTCTGACCATTTGTGACAATTGGAATTTGCATAATCATATGGAGTAGCCATAAAGTAGCCAAACGAACTGAAGCACTCTGGTGGAATCTCTAAAACTTTTAAAACCCAAAAAACCTCCAAAAATACTCCACAAAACATGCCCTTTTTAAAAACTGCATCTAAAATTAATTAAAACTATTTTTCTTATAATATATTCAACCAATTTTTGTTTATGTTTATGCTTAAATTTTTATTTATGCAATTTTTTGAGTTGATTATAGCTACACTTTCCTTGAATCTTCTATTATACGTATTTCTTTCCTTGTATAAGATTTTTGTGTTATCTTTATCTATATTACAATTATTTATTACACAATGATCATGAAAAACAGATTGCAACCGATGATATTTCATGCCTCTATATGTTCTTTTAATCTTGTTTTTAATTTACGCTTTGTTTCTCCTATATAAATACTGAAATTTATGCAAGTACTGTACTTGCACAAATATACAGTAATACCTCAACTTACGCAAACCCGGAGTTACGCGATTTTCAAATCTCATCGATTCGTCTTTTGTTTGAGCGCCATGCAGCTCTTGATTACTCACCCCCCCACACTATTGTTTAGCTTACATGTTTGGACATGTTGTGTGGAATCAACACATAATTACAATTTATTTTGTGTTATTTATTTCTGTGTTTGTTATATCTACAGAGACTTGAGAGACTCTATGTGGTGATTTCTTGTAACCGTGAACGAATCAAAAGATGAGATAAGATTAACGAGAACATTTATTAGCTTACATACATCCGACTTAGATTTTACACAAATTGCGAAATTATACCCTGACTTACGCGAATTTGACTTACGTGGTTATTGCTCGGTCCCACCTATCGCGTAAGTTCGAGGTATTACTGTATTGTATATTTTATATATCATTCTACTATTTTAATTAGATGTATGGAAATTATAATGTCTGTGTAGTCACCATATTCTTCTAGTTTGTAATATGCAAATTCAGTGTACAAGTGCCATATTGTGGTTAATGGTATGTAGAATTATATACATGTGGTTTACATTATTTTTGTATAATTTACTTGTAAAATATGATATTCTGAATACTGTATATATTCTTTCTTGTTTAGTTGACTGATGAGGGGCCAAAAGCCCGAAACGTGTAGAAGTACTGTATCAATTAAATAAAGATGGAAAAGAAGCCATGTGTTTGATTAATAACATGAGTTTTTGTGTTTAATACTCTCAAAAAATAGTACAACACAGTTTCAAAAAACAAAACTCACCTTTTATTTGAAATCAGCCTACTGTCTACCAATCAGGGGTATAATGATATGAGAGGCAATTTCATGTAATAGCTAAATTATAAATTTTCATCTATAAACAAGCATTCACTATTATCAGAACTTATTATACTGGCTTTAATATTTAATATACCTGTACAGGTATATTAAATATTAAATAAAAATTGTTTTCTGTGAAACTCTGTATTGTCTGTTAAGCCAGTATAATAAGTTCTGATAATAGTGAATGCTTGTTTATAGACGAAAATTTATAATTTAGTAAGAAAAGGACATTGAGGCATTTTAATTAAATCGTGTACTAGCTAATTAATTCTCATATCCATTATAAAACATTGATAAGATTACCTGTCCAGTTTTATTTGAGGCCTTTCTTAAAGGCATGCAGAATACTATTTTCAACAGGCTAGTGCTTGCATGTTGTTAGCACCTAACAGTCTGTACAGTGTTGACCTATTTCCATTGCCAATAAGCTCTTCACATATATTCCAATACAGTGTTTGTGGGATCAAAAGACAAATGCAACTCAATAGCCAGCCTGCCCAGAATCTGAATGAATTATGAGGAAGTGTAAACTACTTGGTGTGAAATTCTTCAAAACATTATGGCAATATGCCTGTGGTGTTGCAACTTGTATTATGAGGAATAGGGCGGTGATGTAACTAGCTTTTCATCTTCCCTTTGTAAGGTTTTGTTTTTAGATCCCTTAATTTCTGGAGAAAATAATAATAATAATAATAATCAACAAGACTAATGAGGATATAACTTCCTACTGAAATTAATTATTATTTTTTTTATTTAACCTCTTCCTTTGGTTGTAATAGCCTGATAATTAAATAAACTTATATCTACACATATGTCTATCATTTTTTACTAATTATTGTCCTAGCAGTCTCATGCATTTTTTATAGGGTAATTTCAATGCTGAATATTGTACTATATTTATTAACAGAAATAAAATTTTAAAAAATTTATGATATATTAAAAATATTACCTGGCCTTAATGTGATAAGTGAACAATGCTGATTTACCCATTCTAACACAGATTCACATAATTCATTTATACTACCAGTTGAAACAGTATCATTGTAAGCTTCAAGCAATGGCTCCATCAATAAACTAAACTAAGAAATGGTTAAAGATTTTATAATGTAAAAAATAACAATTAAAAATTTTCACATTAGTATATTAGAAGACCTTCTACTTAATCACTATAATATCTAAAATAAAACTTAATAGAACTAAAACATAAGCAAAATTTTATTTCTATACTTTTAATACAATAAAGTTAAATAAAATTTAAAATGATGTATATATTACTAATCAAGCTTGAATCTTAATAAATAAATAAATACAAAACATCCAAACTTTATGCAAGCTATAATTAGGCTACTTTCTATCATTGAAGCAAAGTAATTTGAACTAAAGTTAGTCAGTTAGGCTTTCCTCTTCGAATCCTGTTCTGGATCAATTTTTTCTTCTAGACCAGGGCTTCTTAAACTTTTTTATTCACGACCCCATTTATGATTGTGATTTTTTTTCGCGACCCAAGAAAATATAAAATAAAGATATATACAAATTTGCAAAAACAATAATGTTGTACTACCACAGTTCACTCTTGTGTTACAATGGAACAGAGACAACTGAATACACTGAAAAGCGACAACACTATACTAGTTCACACTACAATCAATGTTGCTGAATCGTTGTCTCGCTGCACCAGAAGTGACACAAAGCGTGCCATTTTCAAACTCACAAATTATTTTCAATATTTTGCATTAAAATCTCGCGACCCCAAGATTTCACTAAGCGACCCCAAATGGGGTCGCGACTCATAGTTTAAGAAGCCCTGTTCTAGACTATAAAATTTTATTCTAAAATAATATTTAATAATAATGTTAAATAATATAAAATACTTTTATTAATATCAATACCCTGGGCTTCAGTTTTTATAAGAAGAGTGATATAGTTTTTTTTATATATAATTTGTTAAAATAAATTGTTAACAAAAAACAAAATTTTAGAAAGCAAATAACAGATCCCAACAAAGATAACACTTCCTGAAAAGACGGCTCATACAGAGAAGTAAAGAGAAAAATTAGGATTAGATGATTATTTGTTGTTCCATCTAATACTGCCTTTTTTGGACATGTTCTAACCGAGGAGACGAACCAAAACGTATAAAGAGACTATTCAAAAGTCATAGAGGTCTTCCAGTTCCTATTGGTGGCCCAGTTAGAGTCATTCAGTTCAAGCCACCCAATGAAGTAGTCTAGTTCGAGTCACCCAGTTCCTGTTAGCAGGATGATTCAGTCATTGTCCCAGCCAGTCATCTATCTGATCATCTGTCACTCAAATGATCAAGTTTTTCTCACCATTCAAATGGTGACCATTTTCCCATTTAATACTACAAGAACTGTCAGAAGATCTTGCCTGTCAAAGAGGTAAATACCTACTCGTGGTTTATTGTAAACTCTCTCTCTTGCATGGTGATAGCTATAAGATAGATAAGGCTAATTAATCAATGGTGTACCTATGTTGTTATTATGCATCTCTAAAGTTTAGAAACAATTTTCTTGAGTTTAATTATTTTTGTGTATACTTGTAATCCATATATATTTCTTATTTCTTAATTAAATAAATGTAGTTTTGTTTTAGAATAAAAGTAATCATTGAGTACATCATTTCTGGGGTTTCTTGTCTCTGTTACTTCCCTCCTCTGTCCACCCATATTCATCCCCATACAGGACCACTTGTGTGTGGAAAATCGTTTAATGCCAGATGGTTTCCTGCAGACCTAATCATAGGTGGTGTCAGAAGCAAATAGGGGCACTTCTCAAATTTCACAAGTACAAGATGACAGTTTAATTTCCTAGTTTTGATTCAAATTATTTTGCTTCAATGATTAAAGGCTATGAAAGTGATTAAAATTAATGTCATTTTGATTAAAGCACAGTCCCATTCTGTTACAAAAAAGTAACAGAATGAAACTGCTCTTTGATGCAAATCTATAGGGATGCATGCTGCCCTCTTGTATTGGCTATATTGATCATGAAGTACTCAGTCTAAAATAAAAAGTTCAATTTTTCACAAAACTTTTAAGGTTTTTATTCAAAAAATCTCTATGTAACAATTATTAGGTTAGAATTTTTAGTTTTTTAATTTGTATCTTAAACACAAAGTAAAAAACTAAGGAGAATTATTTTCAATATTACATTATCATTATTAATTTATTTATCAACCAATCAGAATGTATTGTAATTTTTATTTTGTTTTGTTTTGATCAATTCAAAAAAAAATCTAATTTCGTATAGTAAACTATATGAAATTAGATTTTCTTGTTAATACTATCGGATAAATTGATTTTATTTTTCTATTCAATATATATTTGCCATAAAAAGTTACTGTATGGAAAACTTAAAATCATTTGATGTAATTTATTATAAAATTAGGGATTTTAAGAGTACAGTAGATCCCCCTATAAGACTGGTTCCTATAATTACGATTCCTATAAGACGGCAAAAAAATTGTGGCGGTATCCATACACAACGGTAAAAAAACTCCTATAATTATGTAAAACGTCATCAGGCAGCCGAACTACTTTCCCGCCATCCGTAGCGTGGCGCTACGGATGTTTAGGCAGGTAAATTGAGTTTAGTTTCGTCTGTACATATAATTATATATAAATTAGGTACTATACATATAATTATATATTAATTACATACAAATTAGGTACTGTATATATAATTATATATTAACTTAATTTATTGTAACTTTATTATAATTATATATATGCTTTCCGCCGCCTGGCGCCACGCTACGGAGAGTTTAGGCGAACTATCGTCTGTACAGTATGTAAATTAGGTACCGTAAGTCTAATACAGTACTGTAATTTTATACATTTCTTGTGAAAGAAACATTTCTTATTCAACGGCGATAAAAATTATTTATATTAATGATGTCTCCAAAATTCAGCGAAGTTTTCGCAGAAAAATAACATTAAAAATCGCGGCCGCGGTTTGCTGAGCTGTTCTGCGATGAAAACAAGCTTGAGCAAAGGCGATGTCGAATTGTGCACACTCGGTAAATAATCCTACAATTAGTTTATATGGATTATTTCCAAAAAAAAATATACGTATTTTGGAAATGTTGAGTCGAATTAGTCTAGAATCAATTAATTTTATGGAAGAAAACCTTTCAAACAGCCATAGTCTGTAAACTTCACACGTGTCGGGCTGTGATTGGTTGTGATTCCTACGAAATTGATTCATAAAGAACAGAACGTATCTACCATCTTATACTGTATTTTCACAATACATGTTAAAAATTAAATGTAAACTTTTTAATTGATAAATTTCTTCTTATAATATTAAGACTGCAATTTTTCAAACATTTTAAATTGTTGTGTTTAAAAATATTCATAATTAAAGTAACTTGAAAATTTATAAATTAATACAATTATACAATTCATAAATTTAACATTTATAAATTTTCAAGTTACATTAGCTATGAATATTAAATTTATAAATTTTTTAAACAAAAATTTAAAAACAGTATTAAAATTTGCAGAGTTTTCTCTAGGAAAATACTTTTTTATGAGTAAAAGTTATTTTCATTTAATATTGTTGTTCACATTATTTGTTACTTTACTTCTATCCATATTTTGAAAGGATACAATCCAGAATTTCCAATTCTGTAATGTCTGTGTCCTTACATAATCATCAAATAATTCCCTCATCCTATTTGTCTTTTGACATGGAATAGGAGCACCTGTTGCAGGCAATTGCTTTTGATATAAACTGAAATAAATATAAAATAATCAGAGTGAGAAAAATAGTCACTACTTTTTAAACTTTAAAACAAAGTTATATTAAGAAAAACTGATTAAATGTTTTCATATCTTATAAGAGATAAGAACTATGATTCTTTACATATTTCACATGTCAAACAATTTAAGAATAAATAGAGCTGTAAACTGAAAACATTTGTTCTTAAATTGTTTATTCATTGAAAGTTTTAAGGAATTCCAAAGTTCATTAAAAAGACTTTATTATAGATATTTTAAAAATTGAAAACTGATTATAAAAATGATTAAAACTACTTAATATCCAATGAATTTCATATATCAATTAAAAGAATTAAAATTAGTTTTATTTTCATAAGTCAAACAGCTATAATGTATCTATCAGCTATGGATTCATATTTTATGTTTATCTTTAATTTTATAAAACAAAATATTATTAATTCTGATTCATGAAACAAAATAACTAAATAAACTAATCTGCCAATCTGCCATTTCATGTGCAACAATCTTCAGAAGAAAAAAAATGATGATAAATACAGTATTCCATATGGGCTCAAATATAGATCAACTGCAAATATAAGTCAATTCCAATTTTGGAATCCTTACATTTGAAAAAATTAAGGCCTGACTATAAATTGATCTTTTATTATTAGTTTTATTTGCACATAAAAAATTAGCAATTTGCATTATAAAAACTTGGAAACTCATTAAAACAATACTTTATCACTTTCATCTTCATTTAAACTATTACTGTTTCCTATTTCATTGCCATCATGGTTTTCAGCCTTCCATGATAATCACCTCTGTTCTATCCAGATTGTTGGTAACAACATTTTTTTAAATCCTTTATAATTGTGTCTTCACTAACAATATTTCATAAATATAGAATTATTCTAATTTTTACAAAAATATGTGAAATTTTTTATCACTTATCTGTGTAATTAATTATGAAAAATAGTCTCATTCAATTACATTTCTTTTTTTTCAAAATTACTTTAGTTAAAGAAAAATTTTTTGAATTTATATTTAAAAATATCCACAAATAATTCAGCATAAATGAATTTTTGATTGCATTCTTGGCAAATTTTACAAATTGCATTTAAATCATATCTAATCAATCTGAAAATTGTAATCTCAAAAGGATTTTTTAAATAGAAACATATGCATTGTGCACCTATAAGTGACAAATTGTAACTTATTGCTTTTTTTCTATTAATATCAATAAAAATTAAAATAATAAAAGTTACAGAGCAAAATCAAGACAATGTGCTTTGTTACTGATAGTAGGCTGTCCAGCATATACATCATGCATTAAAGTAGGCTTCCTCGCATAATTCACATCTATTCAGGAAAGTGTACTTGTAGTTTTATGGTCATTGAAAACAAAATCAAAACTTTATGCATTGTTTTCAATTGTCTTTTTTTATAACTGTCTAAAACATTTTCATAAAGCTTTTATATAAACACATAATCATAATATTAAATACAAACTTATAATTACAATAAAATTTAAACTTTACAATAAAATAAATTTTTCAGCAACCTTTCCTAAATTTTTGACAATTGCCCAATTAGTAGAGACTCCTAGGAATAAACTAAAAAGTTACCAAAACTACATTGATTCTGTTTAATATGATAAAAAAAAGTTTGGCTTAGTTTAGTTAGTTATTTTTGAATAATTGACTCATTAATTATTTACAATCATGCCAAACACTTAATTCCCATGAATAGTTTATGGGTTGCAGCATAATAGGTCAAACTTGCATGGCATTTAACATGTCTAAACAATCAACACACCAAATTTTAGCATCAGTAACTCTGTACAATAAATATTATATACAGCTATCAAAGCCAAAGGAAACTTCAATTGGATTGGAATATAAGTTAAAGCTCAAATAAAGATTGGAGCAGTTTTTTGCTCCATAAAACTGGGAAAATACATTGACTAATATTCAGGCCAATGTGATATTTATTGTAAAATTAAAAGCATAACAAACAGCTGGAATTTTTCAATATGTTTCAAATTTATATTAAATATTCTAGTTATCAAATTATTTGCACATTAAAAACCAAATGAGTTTAATATTTATTATTCAAAAATACCTGATTGATTCATTCAAACTATCTCTCTTCTGTCTTAGCAATTCTGCTTCTTCTTGTTGCTGCTGCCGTTCTACTTTTAATGCACGAATATATTCTGCAGCTGAAATAGGTAGTTGTAAAATATCTTAATAAAATCTTTACATCAGTAGTATATAGAATCTAAACACACAAAAACGTATTATTTTGATTAAGAAAGATACAAGTGATTTATCAATTAATTCTATTTCTTATTTAATATTAAATTTCATATTCATTATCCTACCTTTTTGAAGCATTGCTGCTTTACTAACTTTAGCATTTGGATTTTGACTCAATGATGGCAATAAATGACGTAATGATTCAAAACCATTCTGTTACAATAAGAAACATGTTATATAAATTTTGTGGTTTATATTTTATATTTTCAAGTACAGTACAAATAAATTAAGTAAACAATTAATTATANCGTCGATGTTAAGTCTAACAAAAATTTTTATAATAATAATCGTGACTATTGTATGGTTAAAAATTATTTCTTTATTTTGTACAAACAAAATAAATATATTGAAAAATATAAAAACAAAAAAAAATTATACTTTAGAAGTTAATCTAGTATCAAAAACATTTGATTCAGCACAACACAGTCCGACTGGAACGCTTTCAGTTAACCGACATTTCGATTGATCAGCATTTGGATAATCAATGCTCTACTGCAGTTACATGTCTTTGATTTTCTGATTCTTTGATTAAAAAAACACTTATTGCACACTAAATTGTAATACAGTATAATTTATTGTAATTGCAAAATAATAATTATAAAATGCACTGTAAAATTATTAACAAAACATAAAAGCAAACAAAAAATAAATAAATAAATAAAAGAATTTAAGAGAAATATATTTGTATATTCTTGTTCTAATGGTTTAAATGAAAATATATTCCATTCTTGTATAATTAATCATCCAAAACAATATATATTGAGGACTCTGTACATTTTCTTTTGTATCATCATAAACTTCAATATTTGATTATCATCGAGTTATTTATTTACCTATTATATATCTAAATATAAATTACCTTAATATTACACCTTTAAAAATATCACCATTATGACCAAAACACATACAGCATATTGCATAGCACATACAATTTACTTATACATATTCAAATAACAAACAGAATACATCAAAAACTTATGTACAGAAAAATTATTAAACATTCAAGTGCTGTACTACATTATCTACTCTAAACAGAGTAGATAATGTAGAAGGAATTCACATGAAAAAAATAAAAAATTAATATCATCAACTAAATTATAAAAAATTAAATATTTTGAAAAAATTGATAAAGAAATAAATTTTAGTATTCAATTACATTTATTACAGTTATTTTATAATACTCTAAACAGTATTATAAAATAACATGTATATAATTTTAATGCATTATATGAGTTGTTTTCTAATAGATAAGGAGCAATAATGGGGATAAAACAATTTATCATGATAGACCAAATATTACATTCAATGATAAATGAAAAATTGTAAATTGTAAATGTACCAATACCAAATATTCTAATATCATCTAGATCAGCATTTCTCAACCGCCGGTCTGTGGAGATTCTTGACCGGTCCGCAGAGAATTTTTACCGCTCTGTGTTAAAAAATTTTCTTATTCAAAAAATAATGATAATAATAAAATTTTCATTTATTAAATTATGAAAAAGATATTTTAAATTTATGTAATTTATGTTTAGCACAAAACTGAAGACAAATTCTTGTCATGCATAATATTCGGGAATGTTCGGGAAAGTACATACGTCACTTGTTTATATCTCAACGGTATGAGTTATTTATTACTAGACATTTGTTACAATATGTTTAACTGGATTTTAACCAGGATTTTTGAATTAAGGACAGAAGTAGAAATATTTTTAGTAGAAAAAAAGAGTCCTTTAAGAATTCACTTGTTTAATGTAGAATGGGTTGCAAAACTAGCATATTTAAGTGATATATTTTCATGCATTAACAATTTAAACTGAAATTTACAAGAAACTGCAATAAATGCATTTCATTTATTTAATAAAATAGATGGATTTAAGAAAAAAATTAATTTTTGGTTGGATAAAGTAAAAAATAATAATATTAATATATTTAATAATTATTCTGAGTTTGTTACTTTGCAGCAAGATATAAACTTATCAAAATTAAATATAATCATTGAGCAACACTTACAATCTTTAAGTAATAGTTTCAAAAAATATTTCTCATTTGAAAAAACCACATGTGAAAGGAATTTGTGGATAACAAACCCTTTCATAATATATGACAGTAGTAAATTAGATTTAAGTAACAGAGAATATGAGTCCATCCTTGAAATTAGTTCAAATATAATGTTAAAAACTAGGTTTTCAACAATGTCTACAGATAAATTTTGGATCAAAACAAAAAACGAATATCCATCTCTATACGATAAAGCGATGAAAATGTTAGTCCCTTTCACAACAACATATTTATGTGAAGTGGGATTTTCCACTATGACAATAATAAAAAATAAATTTAGAAATTGACTTTCAATTATTTCACCACTCAAACTCAGCTTGACTAATTTACAACTCACAATTGAAAAGTTAATTGAAGAAGAACAGCAGCAATCTTCTCATTAGCAATGTACCAAATAAACAAAAATTTTAAATTTATAAAAATACTATTAATTTAATTTTTTTAGTAATCATAAGACTGATTTTTATTGTGTCCTATATGCAATGGTTTTGTGATATTACCATGGTTTTCTGTGATTTTTGTCAAATATTTATTTATATAAAATAATTATAATAATTACTTATATTTACATTTAAATATTATTGTAAGTAAATGATAATAATAATATAACAATTTACTTCTGTAGTAATTCTTTAATATCTAGTAAAAGTTTTTGTTAAAATAACATCGGTCTGCAAATTTTTTCACAAATTTTACCAGTCTGTGGGCCAAAAAAGGTTGAGAAACGTTTATCTAGATTGATCAATTTTATCTGTTAGTATCATTTCATTTTTTATTCATCACTAATGTAATACAATGGAAGAAATAAATACAGTGTCTCTGATACACATTGTAGTTATGTTTCTAAATGCACAGTACAAATATAAAAAAATTATATATATTAGATATCAATTTCCCATTGAACTAATGCATTAGGTGAAAGATATGTTCCATATTAAGTAAAAAATTTGAATTTATATGTAAGTAATTAAATGAATAGAAATACTTTAAAGGTCATAAAAATAAAATAGACAACTCTAAAAACTAATATTAAAAACAGGAACCTCATTTTCAATATTAGTTTTTAAAAAGATGCCTATTATATTTTTACAAAATTTAAATACAGTAGAGCAAAGATTATCCAAATCAATTGGGGACTGGAGTTGTTCAGAAAATCAATTTTTCGGATAATCGATTATGTATGAAAAAATACATTATTAATATAGTATATTAGTATATCCCAATAATAGTATATTAACATATCCCATGTTTAAATTTTTCTCCATTGCATGTCACTTCGCATTGAATTTTCGTCGATGTTAAGTCTAACAAAAATTTTTATAATAATAATCGTGACTATTGTATGGTTAAAAATTATTTCTTTATTTTGTACAAACAAAATAAATATATTGAAAAATATAAAAACAAAAAAAAATTATACTTTAGAAGTTAATCTAGTATCAAAAACATTTGATTCAGCACAACACAGTCCGACTGGAACGCTTTCAGTTAACCGACATTTCGATTGATCAGCATTTGGATAATCAATGCTCTACTGCAGTTACATGTCTTTGATTTTCTGATTCTTTGATTAAAAAAACACTTATTGCACACTAAATTGTAATACAGTATAATTTATTGTAATTGCAAAATAATAATTATAAAATGCACTGTAAAATTATTAACAAAACATAAAAGCAAACAAAAAATAAATAAATAAATAAAAGAATTTAAGAGAAATATATTTGTATATTCTTGTTCTAATGGTTTAAATGAAAATATATTCCATTCTTGTATAATTAATCATCCAAAACAATATATATTGAGGACTCTGTACATTTTCTTTTGTATCATCATAAACTTCAATATTTGATTATCATCGAGTTATTTATTTACCTATTATATATCTAAATATAAATTACCTTAATATTACACCTTCGTTTCTGCTCTGCATTAATATGGCATACTCTACGATGTTCCTTATATTGCACACGTTCTTCATCTGATTTTGGCCTGAAAGGTTTATTTGGAGATCCCTAAAAGTTAACATGAAAAAATTATCAATACTTTTTCATTAATGTATTCTTAATTAGAAATTTCTCTAGAAATAATTATTATTTCTTCTCAGTTGTTTTTGTCTGATATAAAAAAAAATCTTTTATAGATTTTTATTTGTTGTATTTATTCTTTAAATTATAACTAATGAACATAACTTATAGTAATGCAATCTAAAAAATATTGTATTTTAATGAAATATTTTCTTCATTTATTTATATTAATACTAGTTTATATAGATTTTATTTATTTCATGAAAGTTTTAAATGGTAATGCCTAGAAAGGCAAGAACAATCTGTTCCTACTGTTTTTGTAAATCAAAGTAAAAAATTATAAACAACAATCAAAGACAAACATTATAAAACTATTTAAGATTTAGCAAACATGGTAAAAAAAGTGAAAAGATAATTGCAAATACAATAAAAAAAATTTGTTAAAATCAAAATGAGAAAATTTATTTTAAATTATTTTATTAGAGAAATTGTAACACCAAAGCAGTTTTTTAAAGTAAAGCTTTATATAATCTAGCATTCTTAAGAATAGTATGAAAATCACCATGATCATGTGATTCTACTAAAATAGTGTATACATACATAATATGTATGTATGCTTTAGTTTATTCTTTATTACTACATTTATTGAATTTTACATTTCTAAACAAAATACAGTTAGTAGGTAAAATTAGTAATTTTTGTAATTTTAAATGATAAATTCATAATTTATATATGATTACCATAAATAAATGGTATTTTCATGTTTACATTATATTACAATGCAAAATGCTACTGAATATTTATTCTATCAATATCATATAATATTGTTTAAATTTTCAATTCATTCATATGATTTGGTTAAATGCAAAATATAAATATTAAATACAAAATATTGTTGAATAATTCATCCATTTTAAATTATAAAAGTGGCTACAAAATAAATTTTTAAAATAATCAAAACTAATGTAAATTAATAAATATGGGAAAATATATTTTGAAAACTAATAGATAATAACAATTTAATCATGATTAATTATCAAAAATTATCATATTATAATTTTATTACTCTATCTGACAAGAAATATCAGTAATTCAGTTTGCCTAATCATTAATTATTAATTGTAATCTAATAGATTTTAATGATTTTTGCAACTTATTAGCTAATTTGAAAACGATAAACTGTTCTATTTAAAACAGTTTTAGAAAGGAAATTTTATTCAATTTCTAATTCCTTAAATAAAAATCAAAAGCAAAATTGTAATCTTCTCCAAACAATTGTAATTCAAATATGAAATGCACAGCTACAACACTGTAAAGACTATAAAATAAATATATATTACTTATTTTAATATACAGTATTAATTTGTATTCAAAATTATACTCCAGTTAATATTATGATTTAATATTAATTATTATTATTTGAATTATAATTTTTATATCAATTAATATGTAATTTTATATTATTTAAAAAATGATATTTATAAATCATGCTTAGACAATTACTTTTTTATTCAATCAGCTGCTAATTAGATTAAAAATATAAGGCAAATTTTATGAAAGGTAAATAAAAAATAATGAAAGAAAAATTACTTACACTTCCGTCAATAGAAGAATTTAATAAAGCTGGTGAAATACTAGCTGGGATACCATCTAAAATATTAAATCATTAGACTGTATGATTTGTATTTTATTTTTTTATATTATATTTCAAATGTATTAATATAATTATGATATTTCATTAAGTTCACAGATTTTATTTAGATTATCACAGAAGATAATTTCTTATATTTTAATCATTTTAAGTTACTACTGACTTTTACTTTATAAAAATAAATGATTAAGTAAAATCTAAACAATATGAAACCATAAATGTAAATTAAAGACAGAGAAAAAATTTTTAACTGTGAACATTGATTTCAATACAATAGAGTCCCACTAGTCTGAACACCAATAATCTGAACATGTTTCACTTGGCAAAGAGAAAATTTTTTCTAACAAGAGATCCACTTAGGGGTGTCCCCTTTCTCTTTCCTGAGTGAACCATGTGAATAAGGCTTCATCAAGCTTGTGAAATGTTGAGGGCCTTGCTGTTTGTCAATTTTCAACTGATTTTTCTGAAGTAGAGGCATAAAACTGCTTGATCTTTGCATGGTTCTTTTTCCAGTCGGTTATTGTGGCCTTGTCCACTCCAAACTCTAGTGCAAATTTTGTTGCCCTTTCACCCTTGTCCAGCCTTTTTAAAACGTCCATCTTGTCTTTCAACGTACACCATTTCATGGCCATTGTGGCATCAGACTAAAATAACGTAGAGTGAAGAGTACATTCAACATCTACAATTAAGTGTGCTAACTCACACAGTAGCATCAGTCAACTGATTGGAATCCTGGACTGTGTATTAAAAACAATGTTTTTTACAGTTAAAATAATTTTAAGGTAAACAATGAAGGTAGGTTGCCATTTCAAAATTTAAAAAATTTTTTTGTTGTGTTTGCACCCTCTATTGAAACCAAGTCAGATGAAATAAAGGGTGGAGCACTGACATCATTGATAGTGTTGGATCTATATAAACCAGACTTGTTTTACTGCTTGCTTCTGCATTATTTCAATTATTTGGCTGATCCGAAAAGGGCTCAATCCCAATTAGTTCAGACTAGCTGGATTCTACTGTACTTATAATTCAAAATCAAATGTTATGTAAGTTGAAGTCATCCATCATAAAATTCCAACTTAAATTCAAGTATTTTATCTTCTTAAAAACTGACTTTTCTGAAGTTTAAAAGATTTGAGACTGAAAATCTGAAATCTTATAACAAAAATGAAAATCTTACAACGGATAACTTGGCTTATAGAATATTTGATTTTGAACAGTAGGACCAGAAGATGAATAAAATATGGTTGAAAAACATTTTTCTGTGAATAAATGAATCATCTAATGCTTTTAATAACTGTTCAATTTTATTTTGTGTATTATTCAAACTATTTTTGTCTACTATAATTTAATTTGAAATTACATTAAATAATAATAAATATAATAATGTATTTATAAAGAAATTATAAATGCAAAATGTAATCCATAATTAAACTTCCTAATTATGTTAATTTACATAAGTATAACTATAATAAAATTGTTCAAGTTTATATAAAATCAACTTATATTTCATTATTTTATAAATAATTAGACATGAGTAAAATTAATAATATGTAAGTTACAAAAAATTTATAATTTTCATTATTGATAGCTTTAGACTATAACTGAATTATTAATAAGTTTAAGATTTCTAGCACTATTTATTTATGTTCAATTTAATTACTTTTTATGAAAATATGAAAAACAGAATCTTTGTATGTGTGTATAATTTTTGTTATTATTTTCTATATAAGTATATAGACAGAGAGGATAATAATCAGAATTATATCATATTTAAGCATATAAGCATAATGATGAAATTAATAAAAATCAACATCACTTAAATAAACTCTTAAAATATAAAATAATAAGTTTTTAATCAAAGGTCATTTTATTTAAAACAGTTTGAGATTAAGATACTTAACAAAAATTCAATCCTACATTTGTAGAATTAAACTTTTGATAGAAATCTTTACGGCTGATTGTCAAAATATCAAGGTTTGGAATGATCATATTAAAAATATATAGCATTCTTGCACATTTATACAATCAACCCCCTATAACACTGTTGATTATTCCATTTTATATGAATTCCGTGTTGTACGAGTCACTTAAATTTTACAAATACATGAGCCATTCACAGCCCGGCGCATGTATTTGTAAAATCTAAGTGACTCGTACAACATGGAATTCATATAAAACGGAATAATCAACAGTGTTATAGGGGGGTCGACTGTATTCAGGTAATTTCTCATTATATAGGAAAATTAGTGTTTGTTACTTAAAAAATTTGCATTTAATGCAGCTTATAAATGCAGAAACAAAATCTTGCTCTGATGTATTAATTTTTCCTAATCATAGTTTGTCTATCAAATTCTTCACGAAGAAACAACTATTTTATTGATATCATAAAATAATAAACATGAAAACATTCTATCAATAAATAAATAACAACAACATTAATAAAATAATTAATTACAAATACAGTAAGACCCTGCTTAACGCTGCCTTGTTTAACGTTGATTCAATATAATGTGATCTGCTTGAAGCCTTAAAAAAGCTCAAAATTTATGCCAATTTAAATTATCATGGCATTTCATTGATTCGTATATAATACGATCATTTATGAACATGAACCAATCAGAAAAAAGTGGCAAAAAGGTGTACTTTCTTTAAATCTATGTTTGTTTGATGCAATTTTAGAGAAAAATATAACATCACGGATGCCATAGGCAATATCGGCTTTGCTTGGCAAGAATTAACTGATAAATGCACAAAGAAGTGTGGAAGAAGTTATGGCTGAAGGTATCCAAAAATTCTCAACAAGAAGAGCCTATCACTGTATCGTTAGGTTGACTATAGTCAACCTAATCGATACAGCAGGACTAAGAGATGTAGACAAGCATGATATTGATGAGTTACCACAGGTTTCTGGTGAGAGTCTTACCAATGACGACTTTCAAGAACTGGCAGAACAAGGAATTCATGTAGAACTGGAAAATAGAGATTCTGAAAATAAAGAACCCAAAAAGTTTCTCTACAGATTTCCTTAGTAAAAATTTGGTAACAATAACTGAAATCATTGATCAAACTGTAGCGAATGATCCAGATTTTGAAAGGAGTGCAAAAGCAAAACGAGGTGTCTTGGATGCGATTTTCTGCTACCGACATTTGCTTAAAAAAAAAATGACAAATGAAACTTCACGACTTTATTGCAAAAAAAACAAAGAATTTCAGAAAAGTCAGAACCTTCATCACAAAAAATGAACTTTACATTTCTGTATGCATATGTTTATGTGTTATTTAACATATTTTTATATTGATTTGCATAATTATACAACTTAAAATTAAAGTAAATTTTGTTTACTTTTGGTCGCGTGTTCACCTATCCCTATTTACTCTATGTTAAAATGACTTCATTTAACACTGTTTTGTTTAGCACTTTGTCGTCTAAAAATGCANTTATATAAAATAATTATAATAATTACTTATATTTACATTTAAATATTATTGTAAGTAAATGATAATAATAATATAACAATTTACTTCTGTAGTAATTCTTTAATATCTAGTAAAAGTTTTTGTTAAAATAACATCGGTCTGCAAATTTTTTCACAAATTTTACCAGTCTGTGGGCCAAAAAAGGTTGAGAAACGTTTATCTAGATTGATCAATTTTATCTGTTAGTATCATTTCATTTTTTATTCATCACTAATGTAATACAATGGAAGAAATAAATACAGTGTCTCTGATACACATTGTAGTTATGTTTCTAAATGCACAGTACAAATATAAAAAAATTATATACTTTCTTACTACGTTTGTGTATTTTTATTATTATATATAAATAGTGTTGCATTTTTATTAGTCATATTTTTTATGTTTGTGGGGCATTAAAGAATCTGTCCAATATCAATTGCTTTTCTCTCTCTTCTTCAGGATTTTTTAGAAATAATAGCATTGTCGTCATAACATCCCTAATTATGCTCAACCTGGTTTAGATGCTATTCTAAGGCCGTTGTTCTGACATTCTCCCATTTCTTCAAAAGATCTTTAATAACAGATGTCAGCATTAATCCTTTTTTTCAGAAGAAAATNAAGCCATGATTTGCACAACACTTGAATAAATGTAAATACCCTGCACTGAGGTGATGTACATAATAAACAAGGGAGCAATCCGAATCCCAATGGAAGCTCTGTACTTCAGATATACTAATAATATATTTTAATTATACTAATATATTATAAAAATAGCAGATTGTCATTGGCAATGGCAAAAGAGTGGAAACATTATTCGCACTTGTTCACAGAAAGACCATTGTTCACCTCACATAACTGCTGAACGGAAAGTCCATTGTTCGCAGCGTCCGTTATTCGAGGCACCACTGCATTACATTCTATTCTAGTTGTTAAAATTTCTATTTTTACCTTAATTTTAATCACTGTTTATGCTCCACATCCCAAAAGTGCTAATTTCAACATTACAATCATTTTTCATACAAAAAACTTTTTAACATCTAATGACAAGGTCATACAGAAATTGAAGAAACAAACTACAATTACAAAATTTTGTCACAATCAGATTTCTTCTAAGATCATACAAGATTAAAAACTAAATAACTTATTTTTGTTAAAAATTGAGAACTTTTAAATTATTCTTTTATTCCTAATTCAGATTATTGCCTATTCCACTAAAAGTATAGTTTAATCAGTCTTCAAAAGATAAAAAATCTAAGAATTTTGAAAGCATTTAGAAAATAAATACAGTAATACCCTGAACTTACGCGATAGATAGGACCGAGCGATAACCACGTAAGTCGAATTCGCATAAATCGGGGTATAATTTCGCAATTTGTGTAAACTCCAAGTCGGATATATGTAAGCTAATAAATGTTCTTGTTAATCTTATCTCGTCTTTTGATTCATTCACAATTACCAGAAATCACTACATAGAGTTTCTCAAGTCTCCGTAGATATAATAAACACAGAAATAAATAACACAAAATAAATTGTAGCTATGTGT